CGCCGCCGCCTCACCCCCGTCGCCGCCGCCGCCTCTCCCCCTATCCCCCTGCCTCTCTCTTTCGTTTCAAGTCCCGATCCCCCTCTCTAGGGTTCCGTTTTCGAATCGAAGTCTAGGGTTCCGACTTCGAGTCCTTCGAACTGGTAAGGTGTCCTCTCGCTTCATTTTTTTGCCACTTGAAAGTGTGAATTTTCGATTCTTTTATGTCATCTCGGTGTTGGTTGAAGTATTTAGCTGTCTGTGTCAAAAAGTTTGGATTTTTGATGACGCTGGTTGTAAATTGATGGGAGCTTGATCAGCCTGCAAAAGTTAAGAAATTGTATTCTTTTATCAATATGCACCTGTTTAATAAATTTCATTACTTGTATATGAACCACGTAAGAAAAGCTTCACCTTCTCTTTATTTCCATGAACTTCTGGAACAAAAAAGAATAATCACTATTCTTAGATTTCTTTACTCCCATGTTAAGAGATGAAACTGTGCTGGTTTGCTTGTGGAAATTAATTATTGGAGTTGAAAAGGGTGAAAATTTCGGGTAACAAAGTGCAAATAGTCATTTATTTTATTCTATATTTTTGCATTTTAAGTGATTCTGCTTTATTTCTGCTATCATAAACGTGTAGGGCATGAGAAAATTAATTATCTTTTCGAACTACCTCACTGTTTTATTCTATATTTTTATTCTCTTTATTCTTAAGGAGTAGTTTCTAGTTTTCAGGTCGGACTACTTTTCTTCATCTCAATGTTCTTCACAATATTTTTAACCGAATATTTCTAATTTTTGATGATTTCTTATGAATGTATTAGGGTTTGGTGATTTTGATGGATTCTTAGCTAATTCAAATAAGGAGTGCTTGTCTCATCTCAAAGGTACAAATTTTTTATTTTATTGAGAATTCTGTTCTTTTTATGATGCATTTCTAAAATGTATCTTTCATTAGGTTTGTGCAAGCCTATTTCTTTTCATATAAAAAGGTTAGTATAGAAACTGATACTCAAAACTTAATTAATATCTTCTAGGATAAGCAAAACCCTCATGCCAATGTGGATGCCCTTTCAATTTCGGAATAAAACTTCTCACTGTATTTTAATCCTTCATATTTTCTTTGTTTCTCAATTTACGTTTACAACTCAAATGATTTGTTGAATTTTACCCCATTTATAATAACAGGAGATACTGGCTGGATTGTTTTCTTGAACACCATGAAATCTTTATTTACTATCAATTGCTGAGTGGAAAATTTTATAATAATCAAAAGGCTTGGATGAGAGATTGCTCCATGAATTATTCAATTGCTTGTGGAAGTGATCAGTGGCTATTGTTGAAGTTTAAATGTACTTATCCATCAGCTCTAATGTTATTAACATCATTAAATTTCACATTGTGAGAAATTAAGGAATGCCCCCCAACAATTTATGTCTATTTGTCATTACTTAAGCATTCTTTAGAACATGTTATATCTAGAATCATTTTTCACATAAGATGTATTCCTGATTTATATTACTCCTGAATATTCAGGAATCTTACTAAAATACACATGTCATTTACAGATTTACTCCATTCTTAATTTGTTAACATTACTCCGCACACCCAACGTATAAATTGCTATATATTCTCGACTTTTCTCCCAAAAATTCTGCCAAAAAGGATTTATAGCAGTAATTTTTTACGTTGCATGTTTGTAGCTATGATTATGGTATAAATAAGAATATATAGAATATTATTTACCTGAAGATAACTCTGAAGATTGTAGCTAAGTTTAATCAGGAAGTTGAACAGAGTTTTAAAATTGGTTCAATAATCTAATTGCGGGATTATAAACAGAAATTAGAACGTCTGTTACCAAAAAAAATGTAACAAAAACAAACGTAAAAGGCCAGAAAGCCTATATATATCATGCCATTACTGGGAATTATTGTATAATTTAATTTCAGAATACGACGAATTGTTAGTAATAGGATATCTGAACGGGATCGACGCATAATCTGATCGCTGTTGATTTACTGGATTCTGCTTTCCATAATCCTTGAATTCGTCACTGACACACTGTTGATTCACTGATACACTGCCAATTGTTGTATGATGCATTCGACTTGGTAGCAGTCAAGTCACATTTGGGAACAAATGGTCCAGTCTTATGCTTTCTAGGGGTTGTTTCTTTACTTGAAATAACCATCATTGTTTAGTAAAACCCCATTTTAGATTCTTTAATTTCTAGTGTAAATATTGATGATTTCTTGTTTATTATGAAGGGGGAATGGTCTTTTCCTATTACAGGCTCTTCCTTGTTTTAGGTGTTTCAAAAACTGAACTATTGTTTGATGTTACAATTTCAAGTAAAACACTTTGTAACTATAAAACTGAACTATTGTTTGATGTTACAATTTCAAGTAAAACACTTTGTAACTATATGTATATACTGGATGAATCACAATCTTTTAACTCCATGTTATTTGCGAGTGCAGGACAGCAAGCATTTTATTTACTTCAGGACTATTTGCATTATTGCTAATTATCATATCTGATGGTCTAACAGTGAACCTAATTAATCCAGTAATTGGTCTCTCCCTTCAGAATTTCTAATGATTCTCCTTGTATATTGTTTGATGTTTTTTTATAATGTTAGTCAGAACATTAGGTGAAGAGCTGTGGTATGAATGATCAAGCCCTTTTAATTTTCACATGAGGAGCTGGGGGTTAGGTTCGGCAACCGAACAATATCTCTATTTGAAGAAAAAGTGGCAGCAACTGTCAAATTGAAATAGAGGGCGGGTTGGTTGGGTTGGTTGTTTTTGTGAACTTACTATTTCTTCTATCTACAAGGAAAAGGCTGAACCATCTTGATCATTTTTAATTAACTGATCCTTGGTTAATGTTGTTGTTGCTTATCTAACATTGTGCTTAGTATTTTAATTGGACAAGAGGATAATTAGAATGCTTGAATATATTGTCACGCTTTTTCTTCTCCGAACTTATCCTTGTTACTTGCTGTGTTGCCAGGTTTGCTGAAGCTTAAGGTAATGAATCCGATATCAAGTGAAGGGTCTTCATGCTTGTTGCTTCTCTCGGCAAATTCTGGGACATGTCAATTTGGGGAATGAAACAGAATTGGTATCAGAACGCTATGTGTAATAATTAAGATCTTATTTTTGCCAGCTAGCCTTCATTCTGTTTTGTTGATACTCTGAAGTCTGTTATTGCCATTATTCTATTTTGTCTGATTCTGTTTGATGGGTTATACTGTGCTTGCCCTTTAATATTCACGATGTAATTAATATATGTATTTTTGCCAGCTAGCCTTTCATTGCGGTGTCTGATTCTGTTTTGTTGATATTCATTTGATACTGGTTTGTGTTCTTCAATGAGCATGGAATAATCACGATGTAATTAATACATGTATGTGTTACTCGACTATTTTGTGATAATATATGGTAACAGACTAATAATGGCCATAAGCATCTGGTAATATATGGTAGCAGAGATCTGCATTTGATGTAAACAAGATGGGTTAAGAGAATAAATTTTTATCAATTTTAAATTCAAATTCATGTATAATAAAGTACCCAAACACTAGATTTTGAAATCAAAGATTTCAAATACTTTCATTTAATAAAGATATCCAAACAAAAGATTTCTTAAATCATGGATTTCAAATCCTAAATTTAAAATCCCTTGATTTTAAATCAACTTCCCAAATCTAAATCCAAGTTTCCAAACGCAGCCTAAATTCTTTGTATGGTAACATGATAATAAACACTGATGATGGTCAAACTATTAGTGTTTTTACTCATCATAATACTATTAGAACTTATTTTTAAAGATTATATGATGAGTATACAGCTAGATATGGTGTAAGTACACATCAGCCTACAACTTTTACTTCTACAAGTTCAAGTCGGGGCTAATGTAAGAGTTTTGATAGAGAATTATTGATAACTCAGCTAACTGGTGGATCTGGATCTGGATCATCAATAAACTTTTTAAAATTGAATAATATTTAACTTCATCTTTACTTAAAATTCAAAATAATAGTTTCGATATTTTGTAATGGTGGAGAGTATATGGAACAGTTTTATATCATATACTTTTCATCATGGCTCGCGACTTACTAACAGTGCATGTTTTCAAGATAGCTTTAGAATTCATCTTTAGCACACCAGGACGTTTGATAAACGACAACAGGACATCGTTAGATCCGTCTATCGTACAGACGGTAATGTGCCTACAAGATTGGTGGAGGTATGACAAAAAAACTCAATGCATCGATCAGATGACTAGTATTAAAGATAAATTTAAAGATTTGGGAATAGGAGAGAGAGATAAAGAATAAAAATTATTCATTAGTTTGTAATTTTTATTTTTTAGCTAAAAATTTATGATAAATTATTTTGGAAAGAGTTACAAATGATAGTGATATAGATGAGTAGGTGCCAACTTAGTTGGGATGTATTCATCTATTATGATGTGATAAATTCTAAAATAAATTTGTAATTGTTAGTGATTAACTGATTATTAATAAAGAATTTATTTTTATCATTTTAACTAATACGATTTTTTGTATTCATAAATTATATAGTTACAAGTGATTAATAATATGATTGATTTTTTATCAAAATTTTGCTTTATTTGTTGTTATTTACTCTAAAAAAAAATTGACAAAAAAAAATGACCAGGCCGGTCTGGTGCCCGGCCCGCTCGGGCCAGGGCCCAAACCCGACCCGGC